ATGAACTCCTCTTTGTCTCTTGCAATAACACTACATCCACTCCTCCCTCTTTTATCACACTTCTTATTTTCCTCATCTTTTCTGGTCTTCTTAGACCTCTAACGTTCCATGTCATTATCTTCATAGGAAACCATATATTGCACCTGCACCCCTGTGTTTATTCCTTAGGCTTCAACGGTCATTTCACTGCCTTCAATCCTTTCCAAATCCTTGCTTTCCATTTGAAGAATTTTCTCTATAGCTTCATCTTCTTTTCCTTCAAAATTTATGCCCAATGATTTCCCCATCTGGACTATTGCCCTAGCTTCCATAATCAACCTTCTATTGCTTCTACTGGACTTACTGTTAATTGACAATGAATTTGATATAGTTGTTGCTGCAACTCTAAAAATAACACCTCTATTGAAACTTTTTGGAAACACTCTTCCTCTCTGTGATAGTAACAACTTACCTTTCAGCACAAATCCTCTATCTCTCCCCTTGTTTCTTTTCTTTTTGCTGTCAACCTTTCTTTTAATCTTCGTGCAGCTAGCTGCTCCAATCTTTTGGGCTGATTGTGGGCTTACTTGTTGGAGTTGAGTCTGGTCTACACAGTCACTCAAGTTTGATAATGAATGCCCATTGGGCCTGCTATGGTTAGCTTCAACATGGGCTTCCTGCAACACTACTTCTAAATTAATATTGGGCTTGTCCATCTCGGGCCCACTCAAACTCTGCATGAACCTTGGTGAGTATATATTATCATCAATCTTTTGCATGCTCTCAACCACCTCTTTTCTTGGACTTTCCACAGTCTTCATCATGCCACTGTTGGCAGAGCCCCCACCTGTTGAGTTCCCAAGCCTCCATCGGCATGCCTCAATGATGATACTGCCACCCTCCTTTCCCTTCTGTCCAACTCGACTGTACCACCCTCCACTATGTTCTTAACCTTGCTTGCCACTTCATCATTGAATGACACCTCATCACCACCTTCATCTTCCTTTGCTTCTTCCTTCCTGCCTTCAATGGTACCTGAAAGCATATTCTGCCCACTGCCAAAGCTTGAATTCTTTTTCTTATTTAGCGGATAACTACCCAGCCTTGTGGTTGACCCTACTGGGACGCTTACCTCTTCACACACTCTAACTGGATACTGTGTCCCTTTGCACTCAAGGGTTACCATTGTATTAATAAACTCTCTGCTTGTGGTTATTATCCTTACTTTACCCCATTGAAATGAGACTTGGTTAATGGTGTCTTCATCACGTTGAACTACTTCGCCCCAAACTCTCCCAATGTCATTGAAAGTTTTTGTGTTCCACAAATTAAGAGGAATTCCAAAGCAGTATAACCAAACACACCTTTCACTTTCAATCACTTTTCCTTTCTCCCATTCCTCCATTGATATGCACCACTCATATATCCATTCCTCTAGTTTTACTTTCCATTCCTTCATATGATCGATCGACTTGAATGTTAACACTGCAACTTTACCCCCTCATCTTTGGCGATCACGTCCTTAACCCCTCTGATACTACACTCCTTTTTAAAATCAGCAAATGAGAAAAATGCTCTTAGCTTGACCACTAAACTCACGAAAAGCCAACCATTACCAATCTCTTCAACTTTGAGAGGAATCATCTTAATATCTCTATTAAACCCTTGGACTGCATCCACATAAGAACACTGGCCTTTAACCCCTTCTGTTGGTTGCCATTGTATCCTCTATTTGATCAGATTAGTGCTCACCTTTCTTGACTCTTACATCTTCGGTTTCTGAACTTCATTACCATACTCCGTGATCCGTACCTTCAGTGCTTTATCATCACACCACAGTTCTTCAGCTTTTTGAACTGCCATTCTTGCAGCAACCTGACAATCATACCGAATAAACCCAAATCTTGTTCCCATGACTTTCCTTCTCTTCTTCGGAATAAAAACATCCTTTACCACTCCATAGTTACTAAATAACTTGAACAAACCTCTTAGATCCATCGATTCTGGTAAGTTATCCACAAACACGGTGAACATTCCTGATCCTCTGAATGTATTTAGCCGATAGCCCACTGGTCTTTTCCTAATCACCGGTTGCCATCCTCCTCTCTCCATTATTGGGTTATTTGGTTCGTTGATTGTCATCTTTCTCTATTTATTGCTTCACAGTATTTCTTGTTTTTAGGGTTGCGACCAAGTTTGAGTGAGTTATGAGGGTGAAGAATTTGGTTTGGATTATTAAGGTTAAAATTGGTATTTTGAAAACTTTTAATGTTAACATTATCAAAATCTGTTACTTTAACTGTAGGTGATGAGTGAGAGAAATTGTAATGCGATTGATTTGAAACTTAAGGAGTAAGATGTAATTTTCAGAATATTAACAAGCTTTAATTGTATTTGTCATGAACTTCAGGGGTAAATTTGTATTTTAACCTTTTATTTTTAATATATAAATAATATTTCGGATACTGATGACTAAATCTGATTTCCTTTTTATATTTTCAGTTATTTACCGAAGCTGCTTTCTACATGTTCTCAATATCAGACTGCTTATTTTGGTTAAATTTTCTAATCATTGAAATAAAGAGAGAAACCCATCATGTACAAATATGATCAAAGAGTTCAGAATTAGGGGCAACTTGCAATATTGGAAATTCTGACATTTAACAGGAAAAAAAAAAGAAAAAAGAAAAAAAGAAGAAGAAGAAGAAGAAGAAAACCCTTAATTCAGTCATCTTCATCAAGATATATGTTTTATTTTTTTAATTACTTATCTTTGTTGAGATTTACTGAAAATAGAGCGATACAAATGTTATTTAGGCAAATTTGGTACCGATGTGGTTCAAATTCCAGCCTTTTGGTGCAATATTATGTTATTTTGGTTAAATTTTCTAATCATTGAAATAAAGAGAGAAACCCATCATGCACAAATATGATGAAAGAGTTCAGAATTAGGGGCAACTTGCAATATTGGAAATTCTGACATTTAACAGGAAAAAAAAAAAGAAAAAAGAAAAAAAGAAGAAGAAGAAGAAGAAGAAAACCCTTAATTCAGTCATCTTCATCAAGATATATGTTTTATTTTTTTAATTACTTATCTTTGTTGAGATTTACTGAAAATAGAGCGATACAAATGTTATTTAGGCAAATTTGGTACCGATGTGGTTCAAATTCCAGCCTTTTGGTGCAATATTATGGCAATTCAACCGACCATATTAACTTCAATGAGATAGTTGACTGACAAGTTTGATCGTAATATATACTATAAAAAAAATAACCTTGTTAAAAAAATAAAAGAAAGAAAGAAAATAAACTAAATAAGACATAACGAAATAAAAATGGCATAATTTAAGGTTTAGTGGCAACATAGTCATGTTTCCGCAATAAATAACTTTACTAAAACAAGCAAAATAAATAAAAAAAAATAATAAAGGACAAAAGGAAAAAAAAGGTAAGATGTTTGATGTAACAATTTCAATATTTTCATGGTGCATTTGGACATTTCTTGCATATATATATATATATATTCTAAGAAAAGCTAAATGATTCTACTAGAAGTTTCCATTTCAAAGTTTATTTATCAGCCATCACATTGTAATTTCTTTCTTTCTTTATTTATTTTTAACAATGGTCTGACAATGGTAATCCAACCATCTATTTTTAAAGGACATGGCTTCTGTCCAGTCTTTAATTGGATTGGACCGTACTGTTGAGTCCGTGGGGGCTTATCATGGGTTTCGTTTTGATAATCTGAACCGTTTAATGTGTAGATCAAATCAGTTTTGTATAAAAAAAAAATGGACGGTGAATAAATTAACGGTTGACAAAAATCTGTTTTGATCACATAGCTATTGATATCCGATCAACGTGATTTTTTACAAGCATATAGTACTCGACGAGTTCTACACATTGAACGGTTCAGATTATCAAAACGGGACCCGTAGTGGGCCTCCACGGGTGTAATAGCACGGTCCAGTCCGATTAAGGACGGGACAGAAGCCATTCCCATTTTTAAAATTGAAGTAAAACTAGATTATTTTAAAGTGTGTGATTTTAATATTATTTTTTTCTTTTATCATTACAAAAAGGTCACGCTAAAAAATCCTTCTCCATTTTAATGGCCTCATCACTAGGATGTGGGGATGCTGCTGCACGGGCTGCGCAGTAGCGGCTGTTGTGTGGTAAAATGAGTCTATTTCGGAGTCAATTTTGACAATCCGAATTGTTCATATTTTAGAATACAGCTAGCAGAACATTTTTGCAAAAAATCAAGTTAATCAAATATCGTTTACCTATTCATCCACATACATTTATATCTATAAAAATAAATACTAATTGTGATTTAAAGCATTAAAATGAATACAAATGTGAGTGGACGAATTGATAAACGATATCTGATTAACTTGTTTTTTTTACAGAAATGTTCTACTTGATATATTTTAAAATATGAACGGTTCGAATTATCAAAATAAGTTCCGAAATGAGCCTATTTTGCTACATAGCAGCCGCTGCTGCACAACCCGAGCAGGAACATCTCCACTTCCTCATCGCCATAATGACAGATGCAACCACCACAACCATACTATGTATAAAAATAGTCTATGGTGATTCACACTCCATGGGTGTCCTAATACTCCTTAAAAGCGTTTCATTTTTTTTCTGCTAATACCACCAAACATACCCTCAATTTGTGATTACATTCCAAAAGTGGCATATCCCTCACCAGCAAGAAATTGGTATATTACCATAATTGGGTGGTTGCTACATATAGTAAACCGATTATTTCCCTTCTGTCATTCCTTCCAAGTTTAGCTACACTTTCCTTCATTAGACACAAACAATTCAGCCTAGTCTTGAAAGATAAATATAGAGATGATCAATTTTTTTTTTCCCTTCTCTGCAATAACATTTGTGTTGTTTGAGACTTGAGGGGAAAAGAGTTTTGAGAAAGAGAATCAATTTTTTTTCTATACAATAACATTTGTGTTGTCTTAGACTTGATAGGAAAAGGGTTTGAGAGAGAGAGAGAGAGAAAGAGAGAGAGAGAATGGGTAGGGGGAAAATTGAGATAAAGAAGATAGAGAATGTTAATAGCCGGCAAGTCACCTTCTCTAAGCGAAAAGCCGGTCTGCTCAAGAAGGCCAAGGAGTTGTCAATTTTATGTGATGCCGAGGTTGGTCTTATAATCTTCAACAACTCAGGCAAGCTCTATGAATTCGCCAGTCCCCGGTACATCCTCATATTTGTGTTTTTCTTAATCTATCGCCCATTAATTTATTTTTTTCACTAAGTGCCGAAGGACTTAAACCCTTGACATCAAGGTTAAATTGATCATTATCACTTTTTTAATTAACTTTTGATTCAATTGTGAAAAACTCAAAACACAATCATATATCGCTTGTTTATATATATATGCATGTGTGTGTTTATGTTGTTACAAAGTATTCATATGTTTTCTAGACTACCAACTTTAGAAGTATAATAATTGTAACTACTAATCAAGAAAATGACTCATGAGTCTTGGTAGGTTGGACCTAGTTAACTCACCAGTTATTTTTTATTTTTATTTATTTATTTATTAAATCTTAATTGGAATAACGATACAACTAATGTTAGTGTTACTAATGAAAAAATTGGAAATTTATTTCAACTCACTGAAAATTGTGTAATTAGGAACATGAACTTTGATTTTTTCAAGGAGTGAACTTGTTCTCTTTTTCTTTAATTTTCCAAGCAACAGAAGGAACCTAAGTTGAATTGAATGCCTTTTTAATCTATAATGTTAGTATTAAATCACATTCATAAGTACTTGTAAATTCACTTATTGACATGCCTTGCAAATTTGACTATTTTCTAACATGTATATTCTATCTTTCGTTTTGAAGCATGGAACACATTCTTGCAAGATACAACAATGGTCTTGAATCTTCTACACTTACTAATCCTTCAACTGAGAAAGCAGTATCAGAGGTAACCTATTTATTTATTTTTAAGGTTTTTATTTATTTATTTATTTTTTTATATCCAAGCGTTTGATTAAGACGAAGTATTTTGGTTTCATGTTTCTATGTTCCATGAAATAAGGATCATTCTGATTTGTCATATGCAAATAGAAACAAATATATGCCACATGCTTCAAAATATGGTATAATATGAATATACATGTACACATTATACTATTAGAGTTTAAGGTATTTCTTGATCAATTTTCTTCAAAAATGCCTAGTACCTCGAATTTGAAATCTACAGTGTGGGTTTAAACTACTTGTTTTGGGTCTACAACTACAATGAATATTGTCTATGGATTTCAAATTTTGGATATTTTTCTAAGTAAGAAACATTGTTATAATTTTCTTTTAATAATTAGACATCTAATAAAATACAATAAACTCTAAGTGCATGTGTGTTGTGTGTTAATTTTTTTTTTTTTTGCACAACTTGTTAAATAATTGAGGCCTCCCCTGCTATTTTCTTTTGTGTATGTTGAAGCTTGAAAAGCAGCCCCACGAGCTAGATGCTTTAAGAGGTGAAGTTGCAAAACTACAAAAGGGGTATAGGTAAGTCTCCTCTTGTGTAAATTATCCATCTTCACTTATGTCTTGTTTGGTTCGCGGATAGAATAAGATGGAATAAGAATTTTTCTTTTCATTGTTTGAAAATTTTTCTTTTCTTATTTTGAAGACGAACAATGGGTAAGGATTTGGAGGGAATGAGTTTCAAGGAACTTCAACAATTGGAGCATCAATTGAATGAAGGGATATTGTTTGTCAAGGATAGAAAGGTACAATCTCAAATTATTACCTAAATTTAGACACAAATATTATCATTATGTGTTGGACTTTCTTTTATAGTTTTTTGGGTGAATTCTTTCTTTTATTGTTGAATGTCAAATTTAATGAAATTTTAAAGTATTTATAATTTAACCATCACCGAATGACAAAAAAATAAGTCTTTAATTTGTAAATATTAATGGGTGTAAAGCCAGAATTCATATTTTGTCACGTTGTCTTATAAACATTTGCAATAAGGTTTTGTGTTTATTTGGTAGAAATTTTCAAAAATCTTTTACTACATGGATTTTGTTAATGATTAAACTAAGCTTCTCACATTTTCATATTTTATTTTCCAAATTTCTAGAAATAAAATGCTCATTCGGTTAAAATACCCCATACTCAGCTCCAATTTAACTTCAACATCCACATTAAATTAAATTTTTTTCTACTAATTGCTCCATTTTTTTATATTTTATTTATTTATTTATTTATTTTTTTGGGCTTTCAGGAACAAGTATTGTTGGAGCAGCTTGAGAAATCAAAATTGCAGGTAAACTTATTTTTGAACTCTAATGGAATCAACTCTCTTTTTTTTTCTTTCTTTTTCTTTTTCGATGTATTAAAATTTTGTTTTTGTAGGAGCAAAAGGTCAAGCTAGAGAATGAAACTCTGCGCGAGCAGGTAAAAATCAAAAGCTTCACCACCCAACTATGAAATAACGAATGCTAGTTTTAATAATTGTTCGGGTTTTCAAGATTTTGAATTTTGTTTGTTGATTATATGTAGATTGAGGAGCTTGGGCGCCGAAGCACGACACCTACGCCTACTCATGAATTCCATTGTCTTGGAAGAAAGCGATCTGTTCTAAGTTCAAATACAGTTTGTGATGGTTACTTTGACACCGAAAGAGACTCAGAGACTTCTTTGCGCTTGGGGTATTTTCACTTCGTTTCTTTACAATCTTTTTCTTGATACGCTTCACACAGTACACTCTCCAGTAATTATTCAGTTTTACCGGAACGACTTGATGTGTGTGCTCGTGTAGTAATGAGCTATATGCCTACATGGCTACCAAAAAAAAAAAGTAACAAAAAATGGAAATAATATGAAAAATCATGAACACCATTGATCAGGCACACAATCTATATATGGTAATTTTTTATACACTATGTGGAATTTGTAATGAATAGTTAATTACACTAATGATCCTTAAAAATGTTATATGTTATACTTTAATCCTTAATCTTTTATTTTATTTGTTTTTACCTTTGATAACCAAAATGACCCTGTTTGGTAGGGCTTATTTCCAGCTTATTTCAGTTTTTAGCTTAACAATACAGCTTATAGCTTTTTGTAAGTCAAAAGTCAACTTTTCTTTGAGTGGGGGAGGAGAAACTTAATTTATAAGTAAAAAATCAGCTTATGTTCACTGTTATAAGGTATAATCTGTTAGGTTATAAGTTATAATCACTTTCCCACAGTTCTACCAAACGGGGCCAATATGTGATAGGTTACACTTTAATCCACTGTTCAAATTCCAATAATGGAAAAAGGGATATTTATGAAATTTTACATGAAATTTCAACAAACTCAAAAGGACCAAACCAATATATGCATTTTGGCCTCCAGAGTTGTGCTTTGTTTATTTGCTCCCTCAAATATGCGATTTGTTGCATTTTGATCCCCAATTTTAGTTTTGCTGCATTTTGTTCATAAAGTTCTAAAAATACTGCTCCTCTCCTTATTGATTTTGAATGCCATTAATATGAATGACTAAAGTGTAGCAAATCACATATTTTGAGTGCAAAAATGAAAAATTAAAAGATTAATAACTAAAATATAACATTTTTGCATACTTTGAAGGCTATTAATGTATTTAACCCTTTAATTTAACAAGAATACTATATACTAAAAAAAAATACATCTATAAATCACATTCTATCAACTTTAAATCTTCACTTTACACCTCATTTTCAGGATAATTTCGAGCAACAATTAATGGTAGATAGCATTTTCCTTTAATTAACTTTGCCCTAACTTGTCATTGAATTTCATATTTAACCATATTTTGTTTCAGGTTGTCGAGTGAAGTTTTTCATAAGAGAAAAGTATGCAAGATTGAATCGGTTTCTAATGATGACTCTGGCAGCCAAATGGCTTCATAGTGATTAATACTTGGAAATTCATTCCAATGTGATGGAAAATGAGTTAATTACCTTACTTTGATCAACATGATTTGGTCTTTTTGATGAAGAACAACGTTGTTTCTGAGCTGTAATAGGACATTTTCAATTTTGTTATGTGCTTTTGATATGCTCATGATATAGATGGATGCAATTTCCAAAGGCTAATGGGTCTGTTTAATTTAGTTTTAGAATTATAATTTGAATGTAGAATTGTGTTTTGTGTTTTAAGTTTTTGAATTATAATTTGAAAAGAGAAAATTTATTTGGTTATAAGTTTTAAAAATAGTCTTAGGATGATTTATAAAAAAAAATTTATTTATTTTTTGATTGATTGATGTATAAAATGTGAGAGAATGTGAGAGGAGAGATGGGAGAGAAAAAATGATTGATTAATTGATTAATAATTAAAAAGACAAAGGAGAATGAAAGGAGTTTTGAAAGTAATTTTGATTTGTATTTTGAAAATATGTTTAGTTAAGATATTTCATCTAATTATGATTTAAAAATAAAGTTAAGTTTTGAAAAGTAGGTCAAAAATTAACATTTTGTTTGCATCATTTGGTAAAAAATGATAAGAAATGACCAGAAATGATTTTCGTTTCTCTTGTTTGATTTGTAAGTAGGATAAGAATTAGTAAGAAGTTATAATAAATTGTGAGAAACATGACTTTTATTTTATAGGTTTCATTTTTTATCATTCATTGATTACAGAACCAAGCACAAAATACATAGAAACAAAAATACTTTTAGAAGTAGACCCCACAAGTAAATTTTGTATAATCTTGTCAATTAATATATGTCATGTATTTCTTTTCTTATTGTATCTATTTGACTCAAGACTACATTCTTCCTGGTTATATATTATCATTAGCATGATCCAACATATGATGTTAACAACTCCATAAAATTAATGCCCTGAACAATGTGCCTGTTTGGCAGAGCTTAATTACAGTTTATTTCAACTTTCAGCTTAATTTAAGCTATTTTGATGTGTTTAGTTTAACTTATAGCTTATAGCTTATAACTTTTTGGAAGTCAGAAATCAGCTTATTCTTTGAGTGGGACAGGAGATGCTTTAAGAATAAGCTGGAAATCAGCTTAAGCTGAAAGTTATAAGTTATAAGCTGTTGAGGCATAAGCTATAAGCACTTTCCCACAGCTGTACCAAACAGGGCCAATATATTATTCATACAGTACACATCTTCAATTTGAATTTGTGTGCATTTTCTACACCATCTCCCAATAATTTAATAATTCAAAATTTTATGTCAAATTTTTTTTCTTTTTTATTTACATATTAGCTAGAGAGTCTAATCTTAATACGATGATTCATGCAAATGACAAAGGATTTAAATATTTTCTTAAGATAATATATTGTCTTTTGTTGTCTTTATATATATATATATATATTTTCTCTTCAATTGTGTTACATCATATAATTGTTCAAAAAATTAGCAATTAGGGATTTTATAATCTACATTTTTTTAATCTCTATTTTTAATCATAATTTAAAGGGATGCTGATGCAAAGAAAGATAACAAATAGGTGTGGTGGTGATGGAGACACGTGGCAAGTCAAAGTGTTAGCCCACCAATCTGATTGGTCACAACCCCAAAGCGTGCTTTGTTTGGAACCATCCTAAAATGTTGATTATTAAAATATTAAGGGGTTATCATTAAGCATAATTAACTAGTAATTTAAACAACTATTTTAATTTTGATTCAAAAAATAAAAATAATTATTTTAAATTTGATTTTTGTTTACTATTTCCAAAAGGATGGGGACAAAGTAGCCTCTAATGCAAGCTATTCTCAATTAATAATTCTAGAAAACTCTACTGTAATTTTGAAGAATTACTACACGAGATAGTCACATTAGATTAGTCAAAGAATTTATATTAATGTATTTTATCATTGCTTCTTTGTATTGTACTTTACATTTGTACTTTAAATTTTAAAAAATAAAAATAAAAAGAAGGTTTAAAAGGTGAGTACTTAAAATAAAAGATTAGAAAATGTATATAAAAATGGGTATTTTTTCATAAATCCGTTTTCACCTACTTATATTTCATTTAGTCCATATTATTTTTTTATATTCCAATAAGTCTTATGGATGTCATAATTACTAAAATATCCCTAGTAATATTCACATTTACAGCGTGAATGTTTCATGATGTGAATGTTCACACTATCAATGTGAATATTCACATTGTCAAATTTTTGCCTTGTTGAGTTAATGGTTTGATTCCAACTTGAATTAATCTTAGATGAATAAAGTTATGATCATCTTTAACATGTTTTTTAATTGACTCTTTGGATAATAACTGACAAGTTTTTCTAATTTTAGTTAAAGTATAAACTTGTTCAACAGTTTTGACCTGTAAACCTATATTAAAGGTTGATTATAAAAAACTGGTTTTATAGATTTCTTTAATCCTTACTTTAGGGATATTCCAACTTAAATCAAGTTTAACATCTTGAAATTCATGTACTTCTTCGTTAATAAGTAAATCGTTATCAGGTATATGAGCTAATGTTGTAGATCTAGAGCTAATTAAAGAGTTGCTTTTGAATAATCGATTCATATTTCTAAATTTATAAAAGATTGTCAGAAATCTAAATTCTGGGTTAACTTATCATATTTTCACATACAATGTGTTTACTCATACCCTTTCCGAGAACCCCTATTTCCGTTAACTGCCTAAACCTAAGGACTTACATAGGATGCGGGACGAAAGGGGGTGGCTACTGATAGAGTAGAAAAGAGATGATAAGGTTAAACAGAATAAAGATGACTGAAATCAATTACTAATATAGATTAGAGAAGACCGAATCAGAAATGATTTGTTGGAACGATATTACTCTTCTTGAAGACTAGGTTACAGTTAATGAAAATTATTCCCAAAATCAACAATTTTTTACTAGTCAAGATATTCAAACTATTCAACAATTTAATAATGGTTCAATTCATATACGTTTTAATCGCCTTCCTAGTCACTCATCTCGTCATAGTACTTCTAGTATCCCCACCGACTTAGAAGATGATGAAATATTTAATACACCTCTATTTACTCGCAAAGATAGGAAATTCCATCTCTGTGAAGATTTAGATAGTAAATTAAAAAGAATAGATAATTCCTCTACTTCCCAAATTAGTAAACCGGTTTATTCAACTCACACACATCTTTATGAAGATGAAACCACATCTCAGGATTCACCTACTCAAACTGATTTTGAAGTCGTTCATCCTGTTAACCCACAATTATTAACTCTTAGTAAACCTTTTACTCCAGATCTTAATAAACTCCATGCTGAATTTAAATCTAAAGCTAATAAATCTAAACGACAAACCTATAGAAATAATTATAATGAACACCAATAATCCAAGATTACCAAGAAATGATATAAATTTATGAACGAAGTAAATAATGAAATTCACTTCTTTGATTATCTTGAAAATTATTATCAAAAAATAAATACTATTACAAAAACTAAATGGAAAACTTCCCTTAATACTTTTGTTTCTTCCAATTATCCCTCTCTAGAAACTATTCTCATTGAACATAAAGGTACTATTGTATATGCTTCTCCCTTTAAACTTCCTGGTGATGAATCTGAAATCAAAAAAATAATTGAACAAAATAATTATAACAACCAATATTTAAAAACTATTGGTAAATAATTAGATAAAATAGAAACTTCTTTTGAGGATTACTCCACTAGTCATACATCCACCGGTAAACCTTTAGATAAACCTCTTATTAATCTTCCTAACACTAGAAAACGGTTAAATCTAGTTACCCAAGACACTAATACTGTTAAAACTATTGAACAATTATTTACTAAGATATCTACTGCATCTAACGAAAAAGAAATTACTGTCTTAACGCAACAACCACTTGTTGAATTTAGTAGTGACTCCGACACATCCACAAATGAAATTGATAAATTAACCCAACAATTCCAAGCTACTAATCTTAGCCGAATCACACATCCCAAATTTAATCCTACTACTCTTACCAAAAATTGGTATCCTAAACCTACACCTCCCGATCTCTAATTCGAAGAAACCAATATTAACAATCAATTTTCTGTTTTGGCTAAAAAATTATATGAATGGAATATAGATGATCTTAGTGAAAATCAAATTCTTCAAAAATTAAGGGGTTGTTTAGGGTGTCCTAAATAAGTGCACTTTTTGACTTTTTGGACTAAAAAGTTGAGAAAAAAAAGATGGTTGTTTGTGATAATTTTTTGACTTTTTATGAAAAAATGTGTATTAAAAAATTGTATAAATTAGTGTATAGGTGAAAATTGGGATGAAATAGGCAGTACGGTGGGATGAATTCACGACAGCCTGTGCAGAGTGTAGTTTGGGATATGATTCCCTACTTTTCGGGCATTGAATTGAAGGTGTTGTTCGGCCTGTGGGGGCCTACCACGGGGCCCGTTTTGCTAATCAAAACCGTTCAATGTGTATAACTCGTCGAGTAATATATGCTTGTAAAAATCACATTGATCGGATATCGATAGTTATCTAATCGAATTAGTTTTTTTTTTCAATCGTTAACTATAAACACCATCCATTTTATAAATTTTAACTGATTTGTTCATATAGTTACCGTTATCTGATCAACGTGATTTTTTATAGGCATATAGTACTCGACGAGTTTTACACATTGAACGGTTCAGATTATTAAAACGAGACTCGTGATGGGCCCCACGGGCCAAAGAGCACCTCCAATTCAATGCCCGAAAAACAGGGAATCATTTCCAAAACGTCAGCTCCACTTGTGGGACATCAGAGTTGTCTGAAATTTAATTATGTGTAAAATTAATTTTTTAATATTTTTTTTGGTGAATAGTGATAATTTTTTAACTTTTTGAGTAACTTTTTGATTTTTTTGTCTTTTTTATGAAATGCCAAACCAGGCCTAAATCATATGCCTATGGTTGCAAATAGTTACCTTATTCACACATTAATGTGAATATTTACATTGTAAAATATGAATGTTCATATTCTTAAATTGCTAACCGTACAAAAAATATTTATAAGGGTAGAAATGTCCATAAAATATTTTAAATATAAGAATTAGGATTTCATAAATCAAATATCCAAATAATAAGATTTATTAGAATATAAGAATATTTTATGAACTAATTGGAATACAAATATTTTGAAAAAAAAATTCTAATAAATTTCCAATATAAAAAGTGACTAATTAAAATAAAGAAGGCACTTTTAATTAAACTAGTCAATTTAATTGATTCTATTAGAAAAACTCTAATTTAAGTAGTCATTTCAAAGTTAAGCGTGTATTCTTCGCCTCGCTAACAATTTCAAGTTCTAATCTACTAAAAAAAAAATAAAAGTGTCATGTGCTAGTTTTTTATTTTATTTTAATCAAGTCCAAACAATTTTAAATCATATTTCTAAAATCTAAATAAATTTAATTTTTTAAATTTATATTATTTCATGAAATCTTGTTTTGAAATTGTAATTTTAATTCAAACACCTTACCTTTGATAAAGAGTAATGTTAAGAATTATAAAAAAAATATCACGAAAATAATTATGAAAAATTCCCTACATTTAGATTACACATGTAATAAAATATCATACAATAATTAAAAGATAAAAAATTTACATGAAACATTTCATAATATTCTTTTTCATAATCCATGATATTATTCTTTGATAAATATGTTAAAAAAAAAAAAAAGGTGTCGCAAAATAAAGTTTCAATCAACTCCAAAATGTTAAACATGCAAATTGCAATGTCATCAAATATGACCAAGATAGTATACCATGTGGTCCACCTTAATACAGTGCACACTCGTTATCTTGCAAAATGGGGTAGGCCCACGTATCAAAACCGTTGCAGATCAATGATCATCAAGCATCGCACGAGTAACCATGATGGTGCTTAGCATGATTATGGCCCCGTTTGGGATATTAATTTAGGCCAAAATAATTATATGAGACAATAAATAGGACAAAATGTTACATTTAATTCATAATTATTTTATTTTTTCTATCACAAAAATTAAAAAAATCAAAAAGTCTATCTCAAAAATGTTTTTTAGCGCCAGGCTTGCCTCGTTTGAGAACATGTTATTTTAATAAATTTTTGACTTTTTAACTAAAATATAAAGTAAAAAAATTAATATGTTTGAAATGATTTTTTAATTTTTTACGAAAAAATGTGCAAAAAGTAGAAAGAAAATGAAATCTTTAACTTTTTGATATAGATTATAGACTTTTTGATTTTTTTAGTAATTTTTTGATTTTTAAACTAAAACAAACAGTTATCAAACGAGGTCTAAAAAAGTCAAAAAGATAAAAAGTTAACCCACATTTCAAACGAATCCTATATAGGATGCAAATTACCTCCTGTAGATAATCTGGATTGAACACTATTGTTCAGGCCTATTAGACTTATCACGAATTTTATTTTAATAATTTGAATAATTTATTTTGTCTAATATTTTGTATATTTTATTCACTAAAAAAATTAAATCAATTCAATAATTGTAATATATTTAATTTATTGTGTTTGTCAAAAAAAAAATGAATGATTTATTTTTAAAAATATAATTATCATTTATTTTTTAATAAATTAAATAAATTACGATTATCAGATCGATTTAGGAGTGTTTTGGGAAGATGGTTAAAAGTTGGGGCGATGCACCAATAAATCCCAAATCTTTATCTTATGATTCATTTGGTCCTATGTTTTATCTTATGATTCAATTAGTCCCAAGCTAATGTTAATGACAAAATAACCGGTGTTACACTATGTTTTATGCCTTTTAGTAAGGGTAAATGAGGAAAACCCCAACATGGTATTGACTGAAATTATAGAATGAAACATCAGATTTATTTACCATCACGAACATTAGATTTCAATAATCTAATGTTTACCGTCATGAACATCAACGTCAGAACATTATGAACAAACATCGTGAAAAATTAAATTTCAAACATAAAAAATTAGATATCAAACATCAGATTTCAAACATTAAAAATTACAATAATGTGAAAAATTACAATGTTTGAAATCTGATTTCAAACATCAGATTTCAAACATCAAAAATTACAATAATGTGAAAAATTACAATGTTTGAAATCAGATTTCAAACACCGTGAAAAATTACACTAATGTTTCAAACATTAGATTTCAAACATCTAATGTTCATCAGATTTCAATAATGTTTGAAATTGTAGAATGAAACATCAAATTCATTTATCATCATGAACATCAGATTTCAATAATCTAATGTTTACCATCATGAACAAAACATCATCGAATCTAGGTTTTGAATCCCACCGGTGATACAACAAAAATTACAATGTTTGAAATCAAATTTCAAACATCAGATTTCAAAAATCGTGAAAAATTACAATAATGTTTCAAACATTAGATTTATAACACAGATCATGAGAGGTCGACAAAGCCAAATTGGAACAGATCCGATCTCTGCGACGTGTGGATCAAACGGACCTTCGATTCGATTACTTCACCGTATTCGATTCGATTCGATTACTTCACCAACAATGGCGGCTCCGCCATCATCAACAACACTATCAGGATCTTGAGGAAACCCTTACAATGTAAGAGAAAGCTTCATTAGGATCGATGTTTTGATCATCATCCGGGTAAGGAGGATAAGCCCCCCCTTCTTCAAGATCAGTCTTGTCCATCTCCACCCAGCCCTAAAACAAAACTCCATCAAATACAGATTCGTCTTCGCGTAGGGCTTCGATCAGATCTTCTGCGGTCACATTTCCCCAATCTATTTCCAATCGGTGTGAAACCCTAGAAAGCAAAACCAATACGAAGAAGACAAAGATAAAATGAACAGAGAGATCGACGAGAGAGAATTGAAATAGTTTGTGAATTTTGATTGTTTGCAAGAATGGCGAAGTATATGCGATTGATGAGAGAGGGAGAGAGATGAGGAGTTTCTGATGAAGATTGAAAACATTAACACAGAAAAAAACGTATTTTTATTTTATAAAAATTTTAAAAAGAGGAAAAAAATTAGGTTCATGTTTGGACGAAGAAAAATGAATAATCTTAATCTTGTTTTGATGATGATGTTTGATGTTGTTTGATGATGATGTTGTGAGGTTTGATGTTATTTTGATGATGATGTTTGATGTTGTTTTGATGATGGTGTTGTGATATAAAAAAGGACTAAATGGTGCATAAAAAAACTTTTTAGGACTAAATGGTTCAACTTTTCAGAGAATAGGATTTATGAGTAAATTTTCCTAAAAGTTGACTTTTGATTTTTGAACAAATTTTTTGATTTTTTTTGAAAGTGATTTAAAAATTTGATAAAAATTTACTTTTTTTTTAACTTTTTAAATTAATATTTATTTATAATATTACGTCATAATAAAATAATCAAAATACCTCCAAATGGTGATTTGCCCTGGCCATCAACTTGTAAATATAGAGGGTAGTTCATGTAATTTCACACCCTGCATTTTGCTAACTTCCCAAATAGTGTTATGGTGTATTAAGCTATCTCAAGCTGTTTTTGAAATTGCAAAATGAAACTTTTATTTGGATTTCCAAATCACCATTTAATTTTATTTGAATAAAATATGCAAAATATATAATAAAATAAATAAACAACTCCCGTCGGTCTCCTTTGTATAGGAAATCACATTAATTTCATATAAAGCTAATTTTATTTAAAAAAAAAAAAAACCTAAAAAAGAGAGGGGAATGTAATTTACCCATTATTAATTGATATGAGGTGGTACAAGGGGGACATTGATAATCATCATAAGCTCAGCACAAAGCTCCTTCGTTCACCTTTATATATTGGCCCAACCTCCGAACACCTATCATCACCATTGTCGGCCCCCCTCTCTCTCTCCCTCCCTCCCATAACAGTAACACTCCTCATCAACTCTCTACAAACACTTCCTCATCAAATCTCTCTCTCTCTCTCTCTCTCTCTCTCTCTCTCCTTTTCTTGAGCAATTCTCTCTCTTTCTTTTTTGTTTGCTGTACTAATACTAATCAGTGGCCTCCTGATCACACTATCAAACTCAAGAAAACCAAAAATCTCTCTCTCTCTCTCCCCTTTTCTGAGATCTTTTGCAGCAAAAATCAAATCTCTTTCTCTTGTGTTTGATTTGATCACATTATAAGCTCCTCTGTCAAGAAAACTAAAACTAAATATCTCTCTCTCTCTCTCTCTCTCGTGTTTGCTGTATTGATCAGTAACCTCCTGATCACACTATCAAGCTCTTCTCTCAAGAAAACCCAAATCTCTCTGTCTCTCTCTTGTCTTTGCTGTTTTGATCATATCATTATTCTCTCTCTCTCTCTCTCTCTATACCATGAAACATGAACTACTCACCACCCTTCCCAGAACTAGTTCCTCCAAAACCACCAAACACATCATGCCCTCCTCCAACTACATCAAATCATCACCGCTCCTCTCCGAACCCACCTCCTCCGACAACCGGCTCTCCGGAAAATCCTCTCCAGCCGAATCCTTCAGCCGCCGTATCGGCCTCTCCACTCTAGTCCGATCCCTCCTCAGCCTCCTCTCCTTCCCGGCAATTCTCCCCACGCGCCGCTGGCTCTCCATCCCAACCCTCCCCTCCCCAACACCACCACTGGGCCGGAAAGTCACCGGCACCCTCTTCGGCCACCGGCGAGGCCACGTCACCTTCTCAATCCAATTCGACCCGAGATCCGAACCCGTTTTACTGATCGAGCTGGCGGTCTCAACTTCCACTCTGGTGAAGGAAATGTCGTCCGGGTTGGTCCGAATCGCGCTCGAATGCGAGAAGTCCACGGCTGCGCGTGGGCGTCCGGCGAAGCTGTTTGGGGAGCCCACGTGGACTATGTATTGTAATGGGAGGAAGTGTGGGTACGCGCTTACGCGCGCGTGTACTGAGTCTGATTGGCACGTGCTGAGCACGGTGAAGAGTGTGTCAGTCGGCGCCGGAGTTATTCCGGTGGTGGACGACGGCGGGAAGGGAAGTGGGTCAGATGGTGAGTTGATGTATATGAGGGCCAGGTTTGAACGAGTCGTGGGGAGTCGTGACTCGGAAGCGTTTTATATGATGAACCCGGATGGTAATGGTGGGCCTGAACTCAGTATATTTCTGCTCAGAATATGAAAAAGAAGAAGAAATATTTATGTATTTTGTTATTAATTGGAATTAAATGTTAATTAGATATGTGTAAGTACAAGTTGGGATTTGAATTGTTAGTCACTTGTAATTGTGGAGTATTTAAAATTTGTATTGAGTATGATTCGAGTTTTATTTTCTTGTTTTTAATCTCCTATGAGTAATTATTTAATGGGCTGTGATTGAGGTTTCGAAAATGAGGCTCGAAATTGTCTCGAATGTATTTATTTATTTATTTTTTTTTTTCTAGGCTAATACATTGCAAAAAAATAAAAATAAAAACAATAATAATAATAACAAGCAAAGCATCAACCCAGCCAAAAAAAAATAAAAAAATAAAAAAAATTTGAGCCAAATTTGAGTTAAAAAAATTTGAGGCCTCAATCATATTTGTTATTTAATAATTTTAAAGTATTATATTATATAATATTGTTAAGATGCGTCTCTCAATCAATTGTTTGAAAATTGTAGAGGTTGATGAGTATTGAACACCAATTATAAATTTTGAAGTAAGAATATTTTTATTATGGGCGAATTACATTAATAGTTTTTATAGTTTGGAATACGTATTATTTTAGTTTTTGACTTTTTAATTATGATATATTTGACCATGAATTTTGAATCTTATTTTAATAAGGACAATTAAAGATATAATTGCTTAATTTCAAGAGCAAAATCATCAATTTGATAAAATATAAATTAATTCGACAAAAATAAATGTTGAAAAAATATTATAAATTTTTTAAAAATTATTTATATCTAAAAAAGATAAGATTATGTAAAATTGATAAATCTTTTAGACATTTATTTATTTATTTGTTTTACCAAATTAATTTTTATTATGTGTTTGGATGATAATCGTGTACTGGGTGGTTGTTAGGATTTTAATGTGTAATCAATATATTTAATATATGAAATATTTTTAGTTTTTAATTTTTTTGATTTAATAGATTGTTTTAATAATGATATCAAAGAAGTGTTTTGAAAAATTGGTAAAAAGTTGACTTTTTTGATGACTTTTTTGGTAAAAAGCTGGGTCCTTTTAGATAAAAAAAATTGACTTTTTTGGCAAAAAAAGATAAAAAGTCAAAAAGTTGACTTTTTTTATCTTGTTGCCAAAAAGCTCCAAAGTCGTCCTATTTGACTTTTAAAAAAATAAAAACTAATTTAATGACAATGAAAATAATTACCCATTATATGATTATAATCCAAACACATAATAAAAATTAATTTAGTAAAATAAATAAATAAATATGTAAAAATTTTATCAATTTTACATAATTTTATTTTAAGTGAGTAGAAATAATTTTTAAAAATTTAAAAATATTTTTTGACATTTATTTTGTCAAATTAGTTTGTATTTTATCAAATTGATGATTTTGTCCTTGAAATTAAGTAATGATATCTTCAATTATCCTTATTTGGAATAAGATTTAAAATTTAAGGTCAAATGTATCACAATTTAAAAGTCAAGTACCAAAATAATATAAACCCTAAATTATAGGGACCGTTAGTGTAATTCGCCATTCTATTAGTTTATAGTTTCTACATATGAAGTGTTGCATTTCTATTTTAACTTTTGTATGTGGGTGTTTGGAAAATTGTTATTTTAGTAGGATATTTTAGTTTTTGGTTATTTTAGTATGTTAAAATTTTTGTGTTTGAAAAGATAGTTGGATTTTTTTGTAATTGAATGCGATCTTTGTAAAAGATAAAATGAAATGATTATAGATTTGATGTGACATTTTTTCGTATAGGCTGTTTTAGCCTATTTTGTATTTTTGTGAATTTTTGCCAAAAAATTCAAAAAATAACATTTGCCAAACACTCCCATATCATAGGCCTATTTTGAGAAAATAGTTAAAAATCATATTTCAGCTTTTAACATATTTTAAATCACATCATTTCTTACAATTTTTTTCAAAAAAAATTTAAAAAAATTAATTTATAACTATCTTCTCAAAACAACTTATAATGAAACCTCAATAATTATGAATTTAATTCTATTATGAAATAAACCGTGTAAATATTTTGTGTTTTTACGTGCATGATTTAGATTATTATTTTATTTTCATGTTTGTGTTTTCTAATTAGATATATCAACTTTTAACACTAATAAAATAACAACAAAATCTACGAAAAGGAAAATGCTGACCATTAATAGTTAGACAGACAAAGGTAAACTCACTTTGAAGTTTTTTATTTGTCAAAGGCGCGACGTGAACAAATGTAACATGACAATTCAAGAAATATTTTCCATTTGAAATCAAAACATTTTTCATTTCAAATCAAAACACTTATTATTATGGTTCATGATATTAAAATTAGGAGAAATAACATTTGATTGTAACTTTGAAAAAATAATTTATAATGATAAATTTTAATAATTAAAATTATAAAATTTTCATAAATCTATAATTATTTTGGGAAGATACCATTTCTAATTTTCCCTTAAAATAAAAATTATTTATGTCCCATCATTCTAAATAAATTTTTGGCACAAAAACTTTATCCGTATATTACTTCTTATAACATTTTTCATAATTTTAAAATGCAAGACATTTTATCTATCTATCTATAATATATTTTGAGTAACAAAAATGCAGATACTATTTCTAATTTTCCCTTAAAATAAAAATTATTTATGTCCCATCATTCTAAATAAATTTTTGGGACAAAAACTTTATCCGTATATTACTTCTTATAACATTTTTCATAATTTTAAAATGCAAGACATTTTAGCTATCTATCTATAATATATTTTGAGTAACAAAAATACTTGAGACCACTAATTAGTGGTGGCTCTAATGATGTGGCAGTGTGTCCCACCCATTGTCACAGTGTGTGTTGTGCCTTATTTTTGTTTTTGATTTTTTTTTTTCAACTTCCACCTCATTAGTGGTGGATTTGGAGCTCACTATTTAGAGTTCTAAATCATTACTGTTTTGAGTAATGTTAGAAATCTAAAAGAATTTTTTAAATTTTTTACCAAATGTCTCACATAGGTATGAGATCCACATATGACTCATATGGGTTACTCTCACACTTATATGAGATATTTAATAAATTTTTAAAAATGTCTAACATTTTTTATATATTTTTTACTCCAAAACTTCATGCAAATCAAATTCCGTGACGCTAGTTAATGTCTGTGTGCGTTTGATGTTAGAGAAAATATATTTTTAGACAAGCATGCGGAGTTATTAAAGTTATGTGCCTTGGAAAAACAATGACAATTATAGTAAGTAATTTAATAACGAAATGATGAATTATTTTAGTGCACTCCAGGCGTGGGCACTCACTGCAAGCATGCCCAGTTGACGTCGTAAAGAAAAAGTCTAGTTCTTACCAATTTTTAAAGCCCAATCCAAGATATCATAAAATATTACGTAAGTGTTTTTTTTTAAAAATAAATTATTTTGATGGATTTTTGGTTTAAATTCTTTCATTTCTCTAAAATAAATTATTAGTGGTGGGTGCACAAGCTATTTATTTATTTATTTATTTGCCATTTATGAATAAAGAAGATGAAAATTGGCCCTGGTAGTTTGAAATATCAATAAATTTTTTTTTTCATATAGCAATTTTTAAACTCATCGATTGTTGTGAATATTAAAAAAAAAAAAAATTGACAAAAATTTCAATAAGTGTTTACACCAAATGATTTGTTTGTAGAAAAATTTATACATCAGTGTTACTTTCACAAAAAAATATTTATAAATTGATGGAAAATTTTATGACTTTAGTTATTAATATTTGTAAAATGTATCATTGATTTGAATTTTTTTTAAAAAAAAATACTGAATTGTAGGTAGCATTTGGTAGAGTTTTCTAAATATGATTAGAGAATAGAGTTGGATTTTGAGTTTGTGAATTTTGGAATTATGATTTGAGTGTGAAAAATTTGTTTGATTATGAGTTTTGAAAAGAGTTTTGAATTGAGTTTGAAATAAATGATATGGCATATGATATTTAATTCAAAAACTTACAATTCATAATCAAACACACAATCCAAAATCCTATTCAAAGCTCATAAAAAATTTTAAAAAAATTATAGAAATATTTTTTTATTTAAAATATAAAAATAATAGGTGCAAAAAAAAAAATGAACAATGTTTTGGTCAACCAGTCGGACGTCTCGGGAGATATCCAGAAGGACAACTGGGTTAGCCAAAATTTTCCACCTAAAAAATTTTTTTTAAAAATAAATATGAAATTATAATTTAAAAACTTAAAACAAATATCACACTCAAATTAATAAATAAAAATGTATTTGGAGCGCTTCTCCAAACACATTTCTTAATTTATAAGCCATTGTCAAAGGAAAGAAAGGCATAAAATTAGCCCTTAGTTGAAACTTGAAAAGACACCAAGATGTGAGAGATTGTTGGCATGAAATGGTAGAACACCAACCACTTTGTTTGGTTTTGTTTCTAGAAAATATTTTTCGAAATTTTTTTATTTTTTTATTTTTCGTATTTTTTTGTTTCAATGATTTTTAAAAAAAATATTTTAAGCATTTTTTTATAAAATTTTTAGACACACCTAATATAAATACACTTCAAAAGTATAATATTTGTGAAATTTTTTTAAAAAAAATTTACTAAACACCAAAAATAAAAATAAAAATAAAAATAAAAATAAAAATTCCATACATTTTTTTATATTTTTGTGTATTTAATAATATTTTTAAGAATAATTTTTTACAAATATTTTAGGGAATTTTTTTTAGGGTCTCTAATATTAAGATTTTATAGCATAAAGGATACCAAATATTTTCATAATGTCTAAGGTCCCTCAACATTGATCCGGAGAAAATTCGATCTAGAGAATTTCTCTGGACTTCCTAGAGAAATTGTCTTTTTTGGACTTCCCACTCTTTAGAGAAACTTTCATCGGAAAAATTCTAGACTTCTCAAAGAATTTCTCTCAGAGAAATTTGGGAATTGAAGAGAGCTTAAATTGAAAAAGATGAAGTGAATTTCTCTAGAACCACTCCTTCAAAACCCACCACCACCACAACTACCTTCATCTTTATCTCTCTCCTCTAGCTTTCCAAAGAAATTCTCTAGATTTCAGACAAAATAATGAAACCGAGGTCGATTTAGAAGTGAACCCCACACAAAAATTAATGACTTGCCC